AATCAAATGTGAGATGGTGATAAACTCAAAGAGAACAAGTCAAGTGAACACCACAAGGAAATTCATGTGAATATAAACAATTCATACGCCAAATTTGTTTAATCTCAAGTTTGCATACTACTGGAACTACTTAGTAAGATTTAGTTTAATTTTCTGTTTTGGGTGGAGGAGGAAGCTAATGTAATTTCATTTTGGTGTCAGTCTCATACATAGTAAAACTACATGCAAATTACTGTAATTTATCCTCCTGTAATTGCTGTTTTGCCATTCTGAAAAGAAGACTAGCATGTGCATCTGTGAAAAAATATATTTCTAGATCCTTTTCTTGTTTTAGCTGGTGGAAATCTTTGAGGTCCTTGCAACTGAGCCTGTAGGGATAAAACTGAGGGAAGGCTGCATATGCCACTACAGCACTTCAGTAATGAACCAGCTCAGGGCTGAGCAATTGATTGAGCTGGTAGGAGATCTCTGGGAATATCTCTGTTTCTCTTTATTGCATTTAACACACTCCTGCTTCTGGGTAAGCTGAAATATTTTCATACTTGGGTTTTGGGTCAATTATTATTCCCTTAGCATTCATAACACAATATACTGTGTGCCTGCACCAATATTGCTTTCTCATCATAATAATAAGGATGGGCAGGGCTTACTACTGCTGCCTTTCAAGCATACTAAGCTATCAATAGAGGTGTCAAAAGTGGTCTGAGCTTGCTCTGCCTAATGAATTCTTCTCACTATTTCATGGGGTGGGACATGCCAGACTGCAGTGTTGTGAGTAATTGGTGAATACATTCTTGCCAAACTGCAAACAGTGGGAACATTTTATCATGTAAAACATAAAGAAATTACTGCATGGCCTCTACTTAGGAAGCCAAAAAGCATTTTAAATAGTTTTTGACATGATTGTTAGTGTGTTTGATCATGCCAAGTCATATTAAGGTACTGAACAAAAGGATTGTTGTGTACTGCAACATACTTGAAACATCATATTTAAACCAAACAGAGCATCTGCTATATGACTACTGATAGATTATTCAGAAGACTGTAGGTTTTATCAGAAAGTGAAAATTATTCCACCGATCTCTGATTTTCTGGCAAAACAACCAGAATTTTATGCTGCTGAATAAGGCAGCTAGGACTGTGAAAAAGTAATTATATGTATTTATTTAACCAATGGGATAAGATGTCTACAGAATCTCCAAGCTTAAAAAAGTATGTTAAAAGATTAATCCTAGAAGGAACCAAAGCACTTTACAAATCTATGCATAAAATACATATTAGGCTACCTTTATTTACTGCTGAAATGTAGGGAGGAGCATGCATGCTCTTATTCCAGAGAAACATATGTGATTTCACTGAACTTTATATATTTACCTGAAAAGTAAACAATACTGTGCAATAAAAATTGAAAAGAAAGCAAGACAGTCACACTGAAAGGAGTTTCTTTGACATTAAAACTGATGTATGCCATGGTCTCTTTTTGCACTCATAGAAGTGACAATATTGAGGTAAAGTACTTTATGTCTAACGTCTTTGCCTTCAATGCAGAAACCAGCACCACTCGAGTTAGCTGCATTAGGAAAAGTTAGAAGACTTGAAAACAGTAGTTATGAGAAGGCATTTATTTCCCATAACTAGAAGCATGATTAAGTTATGGCCATTTGAAACACATTTCAACATAGCTGTTGATCTATAGATTTCTTCAGTCAAATTTGCTGTTATAAGGGAAATAAAAGTAGATTCAAATATTGTTATGTGTAATGCTGCTGAAGAGCTCCAGGTTTTGAGATATTTTCAGGTCACAAAGAACTGAACTCTGTTGTAGCTATCACTGGGTGAACATATTCTTGTTGCTGTGGGAAGTCAAAGACAAAAGCACTATAAAACCAGTAGAAGTGTGGGAGCCATATCTGAAACTGCAAGTAAGTCTGTGAAGTAAAATGCTTAAATGTCTCATGGGGTCTTTCAGATAACTAATTTGAGTCCTTAGGAGATGTGTCTTCTAGGAATGAACAGCAATTCTCTGGTGTTTCTATTGCCACATGGGAACTTTGGTGCTTGGGAAGACTTAGTATTTATGTAGTAGGTGTATATTGAGCATTACTAGAGACATTATCCTGCAAGGGATCACCTCATAAATCCCAGTGGAAATGGAAGATAAGTTCAGGCTTGACAGTGAATCCCTAGCAAAATGCAAGGACTTTTAAGAACCCAGTAACTGAAATACTCAGTGGGGGCAGCTGAACCTTTATCTGCTCTGTCTAAATTATGTCATTTTCAAGCTGCTTTTTTTTTTCCATTTTCAGTACAGAGCTGAACATACATATTGGCCTATTGGGCTGTTGACATCAGTGACACACAATGGGGATTGCATGTATAGAAAACCACAGAGCACCACCTCTCATACATACCTAGAGAATGTTGAGATTCATCTGGACAAACATTTAGCTTGTTTAAGTTGTTTAAGGAATCAACTACATAAAGCTTTCCTTCCTCAATAGTATCAGACAGGTTAATTTCCAGGGTAGGCCTCTCCATTTTATCTAAAAGAAATAATAATTCAAAAGGTAAATTAACAGATGGATATGGGAAATAACTGGTAACAGTTGGTGTCCTGTACTAAGAAAACACCAAGCAGCCTAAACAACCTTTAAAATACAGGAATTTGAAGGACCAGAACATTTACTAGATCTTGAAAGCAAAGGTAACTCAGTAAATAGCACTTACTTATTCTTGGACATCTTCGATAATTATATCATTTCATTTCTACATTGTGTTTGTGCATATGTGTATACTTAGGCATACATATGTATACAAGTATATATGTATATATGTGTGTGGGGAAAGGGACAAAGAGAAAAATCTATTTGACTGACTCCAGCATTGATTGGAGTGGTACTTATTTAGTTGTATAACCCTTTGTTTTGGTGAGCACTTGGCAAGAGTTAGGGTGAGAACCTGATTACAGTGAAAACCAAACCTTCACTAACACTGCCAGGAAGATTGCCACTCAGGTCCACTGCTTTCAGCATCAAATAATTCAGAGATAAGACAAAGAAAGCAGGTATGGATGAGGATATAAGCAGCAAGAATATATGTCTGCTTATACACCTTAGAATATATCACTGTGAAGTTATTTTTTGTGAAAAATGGGACAAAAAATAGTCTTCTAATGTGGTTCTACTCCACAGAGATGCTAGTATTGGACAAATTAAAGTTTGATAGCAAAGCCTTTTCTTCAGACTAATACTCCTTGTTCTTAAAAAAAGCACTGGATGAGGCCCAGTCAGCAAAAACAGCTTCTCTCTGGAGTCTGGATGCATGAACTCAGTGAATGAATGTTTGTATAAATACAATTTTGAAGACAGATTATATATATAAAAAAGCAATACCTAAGAAGGCTTCTCCATGAGTTGCACATTATTCCTTATCAGTCTTCTGGTTTTCTTTACAGTACTCTGATTCCAAAAATGTCTTCTAGAAATAAACTGCAGTTCTAGCCATGAGGAGATGCAGATGCTCAAACTAGGCATGTTTGACTACACTTGTCACTGAAAACTCCCTGTATAATTATTAAAGAAAAATACATTCCTCCAGGTAATATTCCTCTTGTTCTAAGATACATCTTTTTGACCTTATAATCACAGCCTGAATGTAAGGGGGGAGCTCACAGAGATTAGTTTAGATTTGGAGTAGAATACATCTTACCCATTTAGTATTTTGTCAAAGCTCTCAAGTTCAGTTTTACCTGTCAACATAAATCAGCACTTCATGGAATGCAAACCTCGCATTGATGAAGGGTGATAAGCACCTAAGGGTGATTTCTGAATCCTAGATGGGTTGAACTGGCCCCTTGATGTGCTTCTGAGCCTTCTCTCCCACTCCAAACAACAGAGAACACAGTGTGACCAGATTCCCAATAGAGCATTCAAACTAAAAACCTAGAGTTTGAGGAACACAGCCCTGAGTGTTTGCAGAAAAGACTCACTCCTTCCCTCATCAAACCAAATGCTTTGATTGTTGTAATTCCCCCAAATTTAATCGCACAGACAAGTAGACACTCATTGAGCCTCAGTAAGTTTGAAGACTAAGTGCTTAATGGGGGTTGTTCTCCTGCTTGAGATTGACAGGACTACAGGGATACTTTCATATTTCTGTTTAATAGTATGTAAGAAAAGATTACAGTTATTGTTTTCTCTGTTCAGAACTCTTGCTTCAAAACAAGGCAGAAAAGCTGGCATAGTGGGGGTTAGCCTTACCTAGCGTGATCTTTAGGTGTGCAGCAGTAACTTCAGGACAGATGGTGGTGTCACTGTCCTTCCTCTAGAATATCACATGGTGCCAGGTAGCACGGCCTGGAAGCCACGTCCTCACCAGCACTGGCTCTGTTCTGCTGTCACTCCACACACACATTTGCAGCCAACTGCCATCATTACTGAGCCCTGTGTTTGAACAGCCTGCTGAAAATTACCACCTCCTGCATGAAGGCTTTTGGTTATTTTTAGCCTCTGAAGAACAGCTGTTTCTCTTGGGTATTTTGATTAGCACCTCCCTGCAACTTCAGGGAAGACTCTTCAGCTGTAATAAATGTGAGTACCTTTGATTCATTAGTATTATGAATTATATGTTTCTGCATTTACTGTTAATTATTTGAAACTGATTTCCTCGCTGTGTTTATAACCTCACAGTGAAGATAACCATTATCAATTTAACAATGTTTCTATTACATTTGTTTGATTCCATTGATGCACCAAACAAAAAAGAAAGGATACTGACATCAGTGTCACTGGCCAGAAGTATTATTTTCCCAACAAACTAATCTAAACACTTGGGATTTTTGATTCACTTTATCTTGTACTTTAACCTTGCTTAAACACTTTTTTTCCCCAATTCAACTTTTAAATTTCTTCTAAGGCTGTTGTGGTTAAATTCGAACTTAGAATGAGACCACATTGAACATTCTTCACAGAAAAAAAAAGGAAATAAAATCTAAAAGGTTTAAAACCAGGAGAATGAAACATTACTTACAACATAATTATATTCAGGTAACGTGCCAGTATGGAAGAAATCAGCCACTGAAAATCACGTGAAGAAAACTTGTTCTGCAGTTCCTTTGTACTTTTAGGAACCTTTCAAGTCCTGCAGGACCTGTAAAGACAGCTATGAAACAGACTGCCCCTTTCAGTCTATATTTAGAGTTCAACTTGACTAAGTATACTGACTTCACAATACTGATCTGCTAAAAAAAGAAATCAGCTCTTTTTTTATTATATTGGAATAATGAAAATATCCTGTCGTGGAGGATAAGGTTTGTTACTGATAATCACTATTTCACCAACCTTTTGGTTAGTGCCAAACCTTTAAGGCTTCATGCCTCTTTAAAACTCATTTTGCTATGCAGAAGAGTCATATCTACAACACTGTAGCTATGAGTAACCAGTTTGCTATGCAGAAGAGTCATATCTATAGTATTGCAGGCATGAGTATTTTAAAGGCATAGACTAGACAAACCAGGGTCTTTTCCTCCTTCTTCCATATACCTTACAAAGTCAAGTGGTACAGTATTATGGGATAAACTTATTTGAATGGCATTCTTAGCTGTTTAAAAAAAATAAATCCTGATGAACTGTTGGTGAGTGATAATTGCTCCTTTGCACACAGTTCTTCTGATCACTTCTTTCCCTTGTCATAGCAGAAGGTAATGTTACTGCACATGGTAATGACAGGCAGCTGACACTTACACAGAGAGACCACAGCTCAGTACAAACCCTTTCTGAAGCCATCCTATGTCTAAAATTCTGAACCCCTTTAAACTGACAATAAACATATTTCTCTCTTAGGAAACAATGGAGAGAATAAATCACCTGATGCATAGTTCCCACCCCAAGCTGAAAAGCCCTGCCACTGCCCAATCTGAGCAGCTGGGCCAGTAACACAGACACAAGAGCTTGCTCCCTTTCTGCAGGGCTCTTGGAGAAGTCCTTTCCCCAAGCAAGGATGTGCAAGCCAGAAAAAAAAGATTCCTGATACCAACATAATTCTAAGACAAGGACCCAGGCCTCTCCAGTTCTGAGCTTGAAAAGGTCTACAAATCTCTGCCAGAGAGCAAAACTGCAGGAGCAACACTCTGCAGGAGAGTCCATTGCCCCTCCAACAGCCCTGAAAGCCATTCTGGCCTCTGGCTGGCAGCTACAGCAGAACTGGGGAAAGGGAAACCACGTGCTTGGCCACCTGCCAGGAGCTGCTGTAGAAATACTGGACAGGAAGCTCCTTACACAGGCAGAGGATGCCAAAGGTGACTACCCAGAAGCCACAGGAGATCAATGGGCTTGAGGGAAAAGTTCAGCTCAAAGGGGACATAATCATGGGTTTGGCAAACACAGGCAGACAACTTCATCTAGTTCAAGGGTCAAAAGTTTCTTCTCTACTTGGGTGAAACTGACAACACATCATGATGATAGCACTGATTTCAGTTGAAGGCCTTCTTGTAGTCTAAGTCATCAGTTTTATAAACCAAACAAGTTCTTACATAATGGATTATTTGAGGAAAAGGTAACTTAGAGGGTAACAACTTATTAGTATGCATGAACTTTCTGGAATAGGTTCTGCTGTAATCAGAAACTGGAGGGAAAAAAACCCAAACTACCCAAAACCACCACCCCAAACCAAAAACTTTCCCTTATCAGAGCAAGCAGCAGTTTTCAGGGGGTGGGGTTTTTTGGATGCAAGGTTTACTTCCTTTACTGCTAACCTGACTTAACATTTAAAAAATGTTTATTCTAACAAACATTTTTATATATCTTCAGGTTCAGAAGCTCCAGCTATCTAGGGTTTAGTGTAGTTATTACATAACCCACCCCACTAGTCCTGAAACAGTTCTGTTACTGGCACATTTCAGTCCTCTAGAGCCAGCAACTGAGGGTAGAGGAGTTTTCAACATGAACACAGGCAGCTGGAGTGGTGCCCGTTAGATAAGGGACGTGGTGTTTTGCAGCACCAGAACTAGAAAACATTTGACCATTACAAAAGCAATGACAAATCCAGAGTGAGTTGCGGTGCAGATCACATACAAGTATGATAAACCTTTGAAACAGAGCAAGGTAAACTTTCATGTAGCATCTACTAAAGCAGTGACACTAACCCAACCACATATCTCAACTGGCAAATAAACAAAACCATCTGTTTCAACCTCTAGGCTTTGTCAGTGTTATACAGCTTCTCATCCACAGAGTTACCACTTTCCACAGGGAGCAAGCAGTGAGAAACATCTTTATTCCAAAAATTAGAAGTACAATTTCAGAACACCAGAATCTTGTTTTTATTTTACATTGAGGCAGGTATTTGTCATTCACTACATGACTATCAGTGAAGGTTACTGAAGTTCATAGTTCCCATCAGGATAAAGTCATAGTACATAGAAATTTCTCGGTCCACCTGCCACTGAAGAGTTCAAAAAAAGTTACTAAAATTACTTCACACAAACATGATCTTTTCACATCAGCACATTCTTACCAAAACACTTGGTCAATGAATTAATTTACTTTTATACAAAGAATCCAATCTGGTATAGAGCATTTGACTACAGTTATCCAACCCATTTAACATTTCAGTTACAGTATGTTCAAACTTTGGAGCAAGTAGCAGCTAATGCAACTGTTGTAATGTAGCCCTGCACCCAATGTTACATCAATCTATATACACTGTATATGCACCTAACCAATAACATGTATGGTATTTACAGACTATATAACAACAAGTGCAAACTATGACTACAGAAATTTAAAAAAATTAATTTAATGTTACAAATCTATTTTAATACGAAAATTGAACCCCATGAAAAAGGAGATCTAGAAAAATTCCCCGACGTCTGCTCTTTTATCACGGCATTTACTTCTAGCCTTTGTCCGAGCCTTGAATGCTGCAGAGTTGTACAAGTGCTACAAAATAAAAAGACAAGATTACAGATGTACATAAGACTTCTACCCCTTTAGACAGTTTTTTCATGTTATGAAACAGATGAAAATAGCTTTTTATTAACCTTTGAAGTAAATTGGTAGGCCTTCTGAAATGTAGAGTATAGTGTCCTTGCATCAAAGGGGATTCATTTTAATATGAACACATTTAAAAGAAACTTGGACTATAAGAAACTAAGACTGAGCTACAAGCAATTCTGGAAGCTGATCAATCTTGAACATTGGATGGACACAATGTAGGGCACATTTACATAGGTAGCACCATTCCCCATATTGTTTTATTTGCAGAATGAGTACATTCACAACCAATAGAACAAAGTGATCCTCCTGGTGCCCATTTCACACTGGAAAGTCTGGGATACTGTCTTCTTAAAGACACTTTCCATGGTTTCCTGTAGGTCCCTCCCCAAAAACCTACAGCTCACAAAAGACACCAAGTTTCACTTGTGTGGAGCATGAACCTGGTACCAACCAGCAACCAAGTCAACCCCTTGGGAGAAAAGCTGTAGCAGACACATGCCCAGTGGAAAATGTACAAGAGCTCAAAGACACATACAAGCAAGGCTGGGTTTCATTCAGGACAACATGAGGCACCATTAGGACTAAAGGGACAAGTTTCAAGATGACAACTTCTGCAGTGCAGGACAAATGGATTAGTGTATGAAGTAAAGCAAATTCATTAAGGTGCAATAACCTACCCTTTCAAAACGGGATATCTTCATTGTTTTAAGAGCTGCAGCATCTAGCATTACTGGTGGACCAAGCTCAAACACATTCCGAAGGAAGTCATTGGACTAAACAAGAAACACATCAAATGATCAGTTTCCTCCTGCAATTATCAAGTCTCCAAAGTTGACTACTGTTAAATATGAAGTATTCCACTAAGAAATACTAATGCTTGTGTCAAATTGCTGCCATCTTCTGCAATTAAGTCAGGGAACACTTCCTTATGCTGTAAAAGTAGCACTTGCAAAAACTGCAAAAGCTGCTACTTGCCTGGGCACACTCAGTCACACAGAAATGCCACTGACATTGGACTGAAGAATTTAACCCCATGATTATCGTAGCAATTTGGAACTATATATTCCTAAGCTACAGCTCCTGCTTCTGCTATATATCTAAACAGATGAGCAGTGAACAAGCAGTTCCAAGAACAGAGATAAGGACTTATCCCTTCTCCTCCGGAATGCTGTCATCGTTGGCTTGCAAGCTGTGTTCATTACTTCTGACTAACACTTTGCCTTCCTTTTTATGGGCTTGAACAGGGAGGGTGAAGGCACTACTCAGCTTTATGGCAGCCAGATGACTACACCACTGCTGAAAGAGAACATGATGATTCAGGGAAAACCCTGAAGCTAAACTGATATTCAGCTTGAATTTCTTACTTCTTGGAGAAGTCAATTGCTAAACCAGCACACCCAGGCTACGATTCAGAGGCAGCTCACCCAGATAGTTCTCACTCACTACAGTTCATTTTTTAAGTGCTGTCTTTTAACACTTCAAATGCAAAGCCCATCAATTCACTAGATTCTACTCAGGAACAGTAGCTCACCTGCAAATGATATTGCATCCCCGAGCCCAGAATGTCCTTGAAGGTATCATAAGTTTGTTTTTTAACCCAGCAGTCAATATACATGCGCTCAGGTCCAAACTTAACCATCTCTGTAGGAAAGTCACGTTCCTGTCCAAAATCAAAGGGTACAACATATATTATTTTAATGTAAATGGTCTTTTGGATTAGGAATTGTATGTATCTCAATTAAGTTTATTTTTCTTGATAAATCTGGCACATCAAAACCTACACATATACTAGAGACTGCTCATAAACAGATGCACACCTGAAGTTAAACTTCATTTAAAACTTGAAGCTGATATTCCTCAAGTCATCTTTAAAATTACTTTAAGAATTGGACTTGTCTCCAGAAAATCCAGTTCTAAGGGCAGGATTCACCTTTAAGTCAGTCTGTAAGCCTCACTTAGTCCCCACTTTACAAGTATGAGAAGCTACATTTGGGACAATGAAATATAACAAGCGCTAATAGGTGACTCAGATCCTTCTACAGGCAGAAATCTTAAAGGTGACTTCAAATAATTCCAAGCCTTCTCCTTAGCTTCCAAGATGTTTCACTATTCTAAGTATCAACTAATATTTAGTTTTCCTTGCATGTACAGAAATGTAAAAACCAATTAACTGAAAAGCAAAAGAAATTTAGTTTCAGAGGTGTAAGGCAACAAATGGATTAACCTGTTAGAAGCTTTACATTTGTCTTAGAGCCTTTACTCATACGTTATCTCACTCATCAAGTATTTTTAGAGTCCTGCTTTGTGTACTGACTGTTCTCTTAATCTGAATATGGAAACCCAGAAGATTATAGTACAAAACTTAGGACAACTCCTCCCCCTCATACACAAACACTTCTGTGGTCCCTGACAGAGGTGTCATTTGTAAATGCACCTTAGTACTAAATTGCTTTTGGTCTATTATGCACAAGAATTCAGTAAGAGATTTTACAATAAACCTTTTAACAGAATTCAGGACACAAATCTGAATATGCTACGAAGTTTTCTATGAAGATCTCGTGGTATAAAATACAAAGAATTTAGTATTTACAGTGCAATGTTTAGCCTCCTTTAAAGGAAAAAAATCACTATGGAAGTCACAGTTGAAACAAAATAAAGAACACTTGACTTTCTTTGTTCTGTGTTCCTAAAAAAAGGCACGTCTATTTCACACAAGTGCTCAGAATTTGAAATCTCATGTAAAATAATGTTTTCCTGTTGCTTTCACTGAAACAGTAGTACTGTTTAGTAACAAAACCATTTTCACTAAATTGCAGACTACATACTCTGAATGTCTGGGCTGTAACTAAGACAAAAGAATCACCTCAACAGCTCGCAGAACATCTCTGAAGACAGATCGCTGCTTTCTCTTATCCACTTTGGCTCGGTGCTTGTTTCCATCAGTGGCCAGAGCTCTTAACTTCTCTGTTAGAAGGTCCATATCTTCATAAAAGAAATCCTAGTTAAAAAAAAAAAAAAGTTTTTTTTTTTTTTTTTAGTTTCTGGCCTTAGCCTCTTTAGCTGCAAGAATTTGGATTTCTCCCAATTTTGTGAATGTAGATCTCTACAACCTCTTAGTTCGTTATTTAAAGAGACAGAGTTCTGGTAGTTTCATTTATGGCATTTAAGCCAGTAAGAACAAAGTCACAGCATCCAGGTTACCCAGAAGGGCACTAACAAGGTTTATTTTGGTAGTCAAGAGCCATGTGCAACAGCATATTCCTTCAGTGTGCATATGCACCTGTCCATCTGTTCTGCTTCGTAATTCCAAAGGATTCCAACTGTCTAACTGACCTGATGAACCTGGCTGCCTCTCCTGGCAACAAGCTGAGGGCACGTTCCTGTTATTAGCACAGAATTCATGCTGCTATATTATTCATTATATTGGTTAAATATTTACTAATTCAGCACTAGTTCACCTGGATCAGTAAACTTACATAAAAAACTAGCTTTTGTGTTTTTTTTAAATCTGAAGGCTTTGCGTGTTGACTGAATAGGCTGAGTTTACTGAATGCTTTTTGGAAGAAACCGGTCGAAGGCAAAAACACAGTAAGCATTTTTAATCCACACTGATCGTTAAGGATCCAGTGAGAATAATCTGTAAACATTAAAGGGGCATTTCCTCAATGAAACAAATTAAGTTTGTAGTGAATACCAACTTATTTGCTAAAGCATTTTAAGGCTTTAGTTACTCGCAGTCAGCTTAAGTGATTGAGTTTCTATTTTTAATCTCTTCCAAAGTTGGCTTCCATAGCCAACAGGCTCAAATACCCACTGTCTGCAATTATACAGAAGTCCTGACATTGTTTCAGACTATGCAGTGTTAGTGTGTTGTGATTCCTGACTCAATTGGAGTTATCACTTTAGACAGTGTTCTGGCAAAGCACAGCAGCCTTGACCAAGCTAGGAGCCGTTCACGCAGCTCTCCCAAACTGTGCCATGAGTAAGTAGAGGGAAGCTGTTTCCTTCAGGGCTGTCAAGAAAACAGATTGGAAATTAATAAGGCATATTAAAGAATGTAAAGGCAAATGTAGCTGTGTACGAGGTATATAGAGCAACTTGCACCTACCCAACTCAAAAGCAAACCCTGAGAAATCTCAGCAAATGTAGTAATGTTGGCAGTATCCGTGCAAAATCCTTGCAAATCCTTTCAAAATCTTCCCCTTAAAATGACTGACTAGTTCTCAACTGACTAAAATAGTCACAAATGCTATGGAACCATCATGCAATACAAGTTATTCTTCTCAAAGTACCTAAACAAGGACACTGAAAAAACAATACTAAAGATCAACATGGTTTCCACCTAATGATAGACTTCTAGCTGTAAGAGCAGAGCTGTGCAGGTTGTGAATTACCTGCATAAGCCTCTGATGAGTGCTCCCCCTACAGTAAACAATATTGTTTTATCCTGGAATCTCTCTGGGAATTTCTTTGGTTTGTTTTTTTTTTAAAGCTGGTGTTGGATTTAGGTTTTAAATCTTGCACTCTGCATTTCAAGTTGCTATTCAGTACTGTTTGATGTATTTTGTTATACTGGTCCTGTTTCACAATACAGAAATCAGTGGAAAAAAGACAGCTAATTTGCTGTGAATCATTGCTATACCCTCTAAGATTTGGGCAGACTCACTAAAAAGAACATAACCCAGTCACTTGTGGAGGTCCAGGGTGCTATGCAACACAGGTTAAATCATTTGCCTTGTCATCATCCCAATGCAAGAAAATTAAGTTGCTGACATCTACTTACAGCATCTGTTTCACGTGCCAGTTCAAACAGAAGGGCTAGTGTTTCTCCAGCAGCTATTCTCATGTTGAGATCATCACAAGATAGCAGATTTGGAAGTTTATGCAAGTGCCTAAGGAATAAGTCACATTCCATTAAGATGTAAATTTTGTTGACAGTGCTTCACTGCACAGTCATTTAAAAAAAATAAATCTGTTTTCCAAGAAAGATACTCACATTTCAATTTTCTTCTTCACTTCATTCATTGGACAAATTGTCAACAATAGTGTCCATGCTAAGAGAGCACTGATGTGAAGCACAGTGTTATGGGTACTTGATACACCATTAGTGTCTCTATCTCGCTGATAGGCCTTTGTGAAGATGTTTTCCAGGCATTCCATAGTAGAATACAGTTCCTGAACAGGGAAAAAAATTATAATGTAAGTGGCTTAGGACTCACATATTTTCACCTTGTCAATTTATTAAATTAAAAAAGTATTTATCCTCACCGTGATGTCATCGATGACAATGAAACAGCAAATCCCTAAGCAGGTTGCACACTAGACAAAAGAAAAAAGTGTCAGTAGACATTAATGTTACACTTGACAAAATCTTCAAACCTTGACTTTTAAAATGTAACATCTGCTAATGCAAACTTGAGATTAAGACCTTGAGTATAAAAGTCTGTGACCATGCTCAATTCAGCTTCTTTGTAATAGCTCCCAATTCCCATCTACATTCCAGATGATTTACAGCATATGCTACTCATAAGCCTTAACTTTTCATGTATTGCTATTATTGAACATAGTTAACAAAACCGTTCAAAAAAGCTACATGTAGCACTCCTCTCAGTGATTTTCAGCCTCAATAGGAGAAATTATGCTGCTAAAATAGTAATGGACATATGATATTTACTCACACCTTGGGAAATAGTTTTCCCTTTCTGCCCTCTATTACAACTAAGTGGCATGAAAACTCTGAACCTCAAGAGTCTTTCCTAGAATTTTCCAACTTCTACGGCAAGGTCCTACCATCTTCCCTATCATTCATATTCTACTCCAACTCCTCTGACAGAGTAAGGAAAAAATGTTTGAAACCAATGTTTGCACTAACCACAGAGCACTCAAAACTATATTTAAACAGGACAAACTTTATTAGCTCTTGTTTGTGGAAATAACTGCTGTTGCACTACCTCCTCTGGCAGCTGACAGTATCTGTTGTAACACAGCTTGAGCACAATAGGAGAAGTAGTCAGCCGTATAATGATAAAAGGAAGTAGGAGAAGATTAAATCTCTGAAGCTTTAAAAAAAATAAAGCTCCTGGCAAGAGCTTTAGAATGTCTTCAGTGAATATTTCAAGCATACCATCGATGTATGGATGAGATGACTGGGCGAATATACATTTGGTAGTATGAATGTATCAAGTATGTACTTCCAGATCTGACATGTAATTTTATGATAAATAAATATTATTGTTTAAGTAACATTCCTGTGCTGTGAAGGAAAAATTTTAAGACTAAAATAAAATTAATACAGGAAGGATGCATCAGTCAGTGGGAAAACTTTTGGTTATTTTCTATAGGACTTCAACATCAGCCCACAGAACTACAATAAGGAGACTCTGACACTGAGTTCAGACACCTGGCAAGGTACAGCATGTAACAGCTCTGTAAGGAGGTCCCTAGGTTGAGGAAGAGAATTATGGTCAACCTTTAGGTGGAACCTTTTAAGCCAGTGAAAACTGCTATGCATCATTCAGAGCATATGTCAACATTATAAGTACACACTAGTGTGGCAACCTTTAGCTCTGGATTGCACAATAGTGAGCTGGTCAAAAGCAGCCCTCTGCCCCTGCCTGGCAAATAAACATTTCATACTTACAGCCTGTCTGGCTTGGATACTGGCTGTTCCATCACAGACAATCTTCTTCAGAACTGGACCAAGGGTCTTAAAAATCTCCTCACTCTCGATTCCTGACCCCATCTGCACACACAGGAGACATGCCAGTCCAGCAGCTGCACACTGTTCGTCGCTCTTACCTAGAGATTAACATACTATGATGAGCAATCACCTCGTGCATTGCTTTCTTCCTTTAACCTCTAAAGATAACAGTCTGAAAACTTCTAAGTGGAAATTCAGAAACCAATAGACAGAGGATAATTTCAGTTAATTTTCTAGACAGTTCAAATGTGACACCTAAATTTAAAAAGGCATGTTAACTAATTATTAAGCACTCTATGAAGTACTAGAGAAGCCTCAGTCTTAATTCCTTTTAAACAATGAGCTATTTCATAGGGACTACAGCCTTCTAACAGCAAGCATGTTAATTACCTTTCTTTATGCAGCGTTCAATGCTATCAGTTAGAGTCATTCTCCTTTCCATGATAAATTCATATAGTATTTTAGAAGAAAAAGCACTTTTCAGACTTTCAAGGGCTGCTTGTCTTGTCTTTGCACTGTTAAAAGAGAGAAGGAAGACCTCCTGAAATCAGCACACATCAGTTAAAGCGCTGCCTTTGTTTTACAGCAGTTTATATTTGTCTGTACCCAATAGTAGAGTAACCCACAGACAAAACTACTTAGCATGAAATGCTGTGAACTGCCTCTTTTCTCAAGGAAAGTTAAATTCAGGTTGGAGATAGAGTTCACCATTGTACACCAGGCTAGAAAAACAGTCACTCTACTTCAAGCTATTAGGAAAGGAACGTCTAACTCATCCAAAAACTTGGTGGATGAAAAAAGGTCTTTCAGCATCCAGAAGTCCTCCCCAGCATGAAATAATCAATCTCAGTAAGCATGTAAAACACTGGATGTGTATTTCTGTTGTAATATCAGAGGAAGACAGTAAGCAATGTATGAATGAATTTCAAAGCAGACTGTACCTCTTGTCCAATGTAAGATCAATAAATCCCTTCAATTTGTATTCTAAGTCTTCTTGAGTGCCTTCTTCATCCACTTCAGGCCCTAATCCAGAAGAAATCATTTAGTCCTACTGATACACATTTCATCAGCAGACACAGTAGATCCAAGACAAAGTTTTTAACACTAGTAAGAGGGCAGTTTAACAGACAGCAGCTACAGAAATTTTCAGTGTTACAGCAACTTAATGGTGTTACACCTACTGCACCAAACTGCCCTGTAAAATACTTTTATAACACCGGCCTGTTGATACATCAAATGCTGTTTCTATACCTGCTCCTTACATGTGAAAAGAACGAATGAAGGAGCAAATCAGATCTCACATAAATTTGCTCCAACTGATGACCATCAGCCAACCCTGTCGGCAATACATTTTCATCCAGTCCACTACATCTATCCCTGAAGTACAGCTAGTGCTCACTGTTGGTGCAGACAGTACTGTCAAAGCAGCCTGTCCTATCTGGCATCACTTCAGATGGCTCTGCAACAGGAACTCAGTTAAGAGTGACAAGTATTCACAGGGAAGGCTCCCTGCCTTGTCCCACTGTAGCTTTCAGGTCCCCTCCTCCCAACAGAATGACATTAGAGCAGTCCAGGTTGCAGAGACGGTAAAGGAAACAAAGCACAACTCTAGCTCAAAACAGGCACATGTGACTCTTCCCATCTTAAACTCTTTCTCTGTTCTTACTGCCCTAACAATGTGTTATGAAAATCAATGTCTTATAATGCACCTTAAAATTCTTACTGTCCCATGCCAGCACTGTACAATTCTAACAGAAAAAAAGCCTCATAGTTTCACAAGGCTTGTAAAACCTGGAGTATATCCTTACCAAAGAAAAACAATAGCCACTAGAATCACATAGTATCAATGCAACGTCATTATTCTGCTACTGCTACTTTACAGTCTAGTACTTAAAACGCTAAGTCAACTCAGTTTTTATGTTTTTAAAAAGATGAATAGATACAAGTGAGAGAATTTACCATCCTCAGTGAAGCTAGCAGGATCACTGAAGCCACTGCAGAGGCTCATAGTTTCAATTGAAGCATCTTCATCACTAAAAGGCTGCACGTTTCTGGGCTGACCACCTTAAGGAAAGACGAATACAACAGTTTGGTTATTTTCCATATGGAAAAGCAAGACCTGAAGACCAGAAGTAGAATTCAACCCTCCCAAGAGATTCAGTCTCCCTGACTCAGCCAGAGAGCACATTTCCATCCTCTGCTGGTTCCTTTGCTCCCACGTGTTCTGAAAAGTTTGCTGGCTCTGTTCTGGAAGATCATTTCTGAATGGTGGGGAAGAGTCTGCCTAGCACCAGTTCAATTTCTTCTCTACATTTAGGATCTTTCTGCAATCAACCTCAAGTTAATGCAATTTCCGGTGACCAGGCTTTAAAAGTATGTCTACATTAATGTACCTCTTAGGATGAACTACCTAAAACATTGTTATACCATCTTTATTTTTTGATTTTGAGGAGCTTCAAGACAGTATAAGTCAAATATTTAGGGAAACATACATTACCCAATTCAATGCAGGATTTATGGGTTTAAGTGTAGTATGTGCAACATCAGCAATGTCCAACTGTGTTTTAATACTGAATTACAAATGCAAACCAGAACATCAAATGCTTCAACAAGGCACAAAACTTCCCCCTCTCAGTACAAGTAACTTCAGACTATTTGAATATAGTATGTATTTGACCAGTGTTCACTTCTACAACTTCTTGTATCTGTTATTTCTCCAATAGCTCCCAAAAATCATCCACAGAACTCTGAATTCTGTTCTTCCAGTTATTTTTTTGCAGATTCTAAATTATTTACAAAGGCAGTGCACAGGGCTTACCAGCTTCAGGCAGACTCCCTGACTCCCAAGATCCCAAAAACCTACTTTTATCCAAGCAGAATAAACCTTCAGTTGGATCACTGTCCAAGGGCTTTCCAATAAAGTCCAAGTCACACTCCAGAAGTTTTGCTGCTTTTAGCCCTAGCCACTCGTATCACTGACCATAATCCAAAAGAAAAACACCAGCCAGCACATGAACGAAGAAACCTGTAAGCACCGGCACAGCCACCTTCTTGCTTCTACTGATGTCCAACAGGGACATTCAATGGGAGATGTGGCAAGGACGATGAGCCCTGCACAAACTAAACCAAAAGCAGTTGCAAAAAGCCTCAGCGAATTCCTCACTCCCCGAGCACTTGATATCAGAGACTGACGCAGCCTGAAGTGAAAATTTTTCACCACCCCAAAATAACCTCCGTTCTTGCCAAGTCATCGGCGTCTCAAGACACACACATTCTGGATATATGAAGAGCGTGCATTTTATAGTACCCTACTTTACGCTAAGGAGGGTTTTTTAAAGACCCAGCAGTTTTCTCGGGCGCAAGGCGCGGACGCCGGAGGGTGAGCAGCAGCCGTGCGCCCGGCCCAGCGGGGCCCATGCTGTCGGG